TAGTCATTCTATGTTTTTACTGAAAAACATAATATCATGATTATTATATACTGTACATGTTGTTTCAATTTCTTACACCAAAGTAGAATCACTATGAGCTCATGAATCTAGGACACACCGGCCTGGCTTCCATTTCATTTCATTTTGTTTATTTTGAAACATGTTTGCATATTTTATATAAAATCATACAAACAAAACCAAGTTTCTATTTCATTCACATGTCCAAAAGGGAGATGCAAAAGCTTATGGTCCTACCCCTCATTTACAAATACATTACAAAATAATACAAGGGACATGATGCTTGGTTCCGACAAAGGTTTCCCGTCTTTTATTTATTTCTGTAATTGATTTTTGTGGTCCTCTGTCTCTTACTAAGCTTCAGGGCTCCACCTTTTGTCTGTCACTGCGTTGTTCACAAATCCACACTTTCAGTCTATTTTTACTTTAGATGTATAACACAGATTTCCTGAGGCTCTGCTTTTTGCTTGGGTTCATCTAACTGCTGTTGTTTTGGCTGCAATGCTCCACAGAATTAAACTTTCCATCGACATGTAGATTACTTTCATTTGGCTAATTTACAGGTCATATCTGTGGAAGAGCAAGCCCACGGTGTTTAGACTCAGGTTTATGAGCAATAAAAACACCTGTAATGAAATATTGTCAGCGCATCTAATTCTGAGAAACATTCTAAGCAAAGCAATGACATCTCCACGGCAACAAGCAGTTAGATAAGTACATTTCTCATTGTCATTTAAAAGTACAATTCTATGCTAAAATCAGACCACACCATATTATATTTGTGTTATTAGAACATGTCTGCACACTCAGAAGAAAGAGCCTTGTGAGCCACTTTTGGAATTCACTTTTCTGTCTGATCTAAAGATGTGATGTGACATTTTACATGCTCTTGGTTCAACAGTTAGATTGTCGAGCTTTACGAAACTACAAAATGTATTACGGTAGAATATTGATATGAATACTATATCTGCCTCAAACGTTAGGAGCTGTTGGTATACAATACACGGCATGTTTGCAGCTAGATTCTCGTCTCGCCACAGGTGGAGAAAGGTTATGCAATATACAGCGAACTTCAAATCATAAAATGCACCTGATGAAGAGGCGCTTGTCAGAACGTATGTCTCTCTAACCACCAGGAACTCCCGGCGGTGGGCTGTTGCGCGGTCCACGTGATCCGCTCGGACGTATCCTAATGCAGACACCACTTTGGGCAACCCTCTGTCAGACAAATTAGGGGCATCAGACATATCAGGTCTAAATATTACCAAGAATAAAACAAACCTTTAAGTAAATCTGTGTCACACCTTCCCCCTCTCGTCTTCTTCTCGCCGCATAACATCATAAAACACATGCCCTGCAGCACGCTCCCTCTGTTTGAAGTCCGGGCACGTCTACAAGTTATTCCACAGCGTTAGCTTCATTGGACATGCACGGCCCTATATTTATTTGAAATTTATTAGTGCATGAAGCCCTAAATCTCTCCTGAAGTGTTATTATGGAGAATGGCAAGACGTATGTATCGAAATAAATGGCTGACAGCATCTTGTTTAAGCTCTTATGAGAGAGGGCTGCACCCAATTGAACTGATCATGTTTAAAATGCAACTAGAGCAGCATGCATTTTGCATCACATTACAAAGTGTATGAGTCAGTAAAACCAGGGTGGAATGCATTACGGCTTAAATGAACTATACAGCCAGTACAAGAGTGGATTTATGTCAAGGAGGGATGCAGTAGTCCACAAAGGGGGGAGTTTATGTTCATCCTGCAGTCACGGCGTTGTCTTGTATGTCTTTGTTAAAGCAGAAGTAGCCAAGACATAAGCAGTCAGTTAGCACTTGTAAGTTGTTAGTGTTAGAAGTGGCGATAGGGCCGTTTTTGTGGTCGCAATTAGCTAATCGCAAAGACTACAATTATGCAAGTCCCTTTTTATTTCCACATTTAAGTTTATTAAGGAAATTTAAGGGACTGAAATACACAAATCAGCACACATTTTCACATATTCAAGTGATTTTTGGTCAAGTTGAAGAATTGTCATAAAATCTTTTGTTGTCAGGCAGAACTGTAGAAAGATAAGAATGTTGTGCGACTTTGATTTCTGATTGAGAAAATGGTTGTACTATAGAATAGAACTATGAAGAGCACTTTTAACTGATTTATATGTATATGTGTATTTCTCACATGTGTTACCTGCCTACACGGACAACATATAGAAATGATGTTTTCTCCTATAATCTGGCATAGTTACATCTAGATTATGGTTAAGAGATTTTTCATTCGTCCCAGAGTGGTCGAAATGTCAGTGTTGCATCACAAGTTGTAGAACATTAGAAATAAGGAGAACACAACACAAGATAAAACAAGTGAATGTTAAATCTATTCTTTAAAAAAAATACATAAGAAAAACCAAACAATTTTATATTTTAGATACAAAGTCATATCTACAGATGTACATGAATGTGCGCTGTCCGTATCAAATCACAGCACTTATAAAAGTAAAGATACAATCCTTCAGTTGTATGCACAGATAAACTGGTTTTATTCTGGATTTGAACATTGTTAAAGAAAACCAAATTACAATTACCGAAAATATCGCAATTAGATATTTTGCCAAATTTTGCAGTCCTAAAAGTAGTTAACAGCATTTGCATTTATAGATTTAAGTGTATAGTTTAAGTGTCATTAGACGGATCCATTTTGCATTTTATAACAACAAGAATTCAATCTTCTGAAGAAGGTAGCTCTCTTTTACAGTTCCTTGTTCAGCACATATTCAATCACGTTCATGGGCTTGTCATAAACGTAGCCATTTATATTTCCTTCATGGCAGCTGCTTCTTGTTTAACGCTCACTCGTACTCCGGCTCCGTGCATAAGAGCCATTATCCCCTGGCAGCGAAACAAGTCTGAATTAGGCCCAGATTTGACATTGACTTGCTTAGAGACTTTAATGACTTTAGCATCATCAGGCCCTTCCCCCTTTGGAGAATTGTGCCCTCATGAATTAGTGAGAGCGTGCGCACACAGTCGTTGCAGGCGCTCGAATCACGGCCGCATTTTTTTTTTCTTTCATTTTACACGAGCCATTTCATTTGGCTCCGTTCACTTAATTTGTCATTTTTCTTTTTAAATTCTACCCTCTACTTTGAGGAAGCTTTATCGCCGGGAACTCTTCCAAATGTGCTGAAAAGGAATCGATTTATGGTTGGTGTAAAAAAGAAAAAGAAAAAACTAATTCTCAACAGGGTAATAGCTTTTGGTGGTCTTTTAAGCTCTAATGTAACACGTGTGCTAAATATACAGCCTCCCTGACCTAGAATGCGGCTGAGAGCTTTGTGGCAAGAAACTGCTAAAATCTCCAAGGTGCTGGTGACCTTGATTTGCCGCTATCTTTGCACGTCTGGAAATCCTGCGTGACAAAGTTCCAGACTATACACACGAATTTTGGTATGTGGTTCTAGAGATGTACGAGGCAACGCTCGCGGCTTGCACGGGCACAATCAAAACGTTGCAAAATGAGAAAGGTGTCAAGGTGAAGCAGAGGCAATTGGGAGAGATTGGCTGATAGAATATAAAGATGAGGTTGAGGGTGCAAAGCTGGAGGCCATGTCGACACAATATATGTTCCCACCCAACATCCATCACTCCTGGGAGGGCGATAGGAGCATTGGAGCGGGATGATGCGGCTCAAAAGGCGCCATTCAAGCAGCTTTGCCTCCGATTGGACGGTAACCCATGGGAACCAGGGTGTGGGTGGACCCCTGGGTGCAACCTCCCGTCTCTGTTTTCTGTCTGAATGCCCTCCAATAGAGCTTACTCGTGTAGCAATTGTGTTAATAAATGGCTGGCTTTATTCAGACTTCATTTTCCATCCTCAGCTTCAATTGGCTTCAGGCTTTGCCCAGTCCACTAATTTACTATTCATTCTTCATTTCCTATTCTATAAATATTTATATCAGACCGGCCAACTCTCACCAAGAGCGCCGTCCAGCAATTTGTCGGACTCGATTGAGCTCACACTCCTTTCCTCACCTCATATTCTGTTTTATATCGAGCTGCACAATATTAGGAGGAAGGTTAGGCAAAATTAAAGTCCACTTTGAAAAATAAAAACCACTTCATCAATGCAACTCAATCCTACTGACACTTGAGGTCAGTGGAAGTAACCTTTCATTTCTATTAAGAAGTGTTTAATGTGAGTAAATAAGATTAGATTATTACTCATATTGCGCCAATTCATAATCATAATAATACATCAAACTAATATAGAGCTTTTTTGGAAACTGAAAGGGCGACAGTGGCACAGTTGGTAGAGCATTGGCCTTTGAGCCTGAAGGTTGTGGGTTCGAGCCCACCACAAGACCTACTTCACAGCTCCCACTGATGTCTGCTGTTGTTGTGTCCATGGGCAAGACGCTTTACCCTGAAGCCCCCGCTGAAAAATCTCAGCTCCTGTGGACTCACCACCTACAGGAGGATCAGTGAGGGTGCAGGGTGCAGCTCTGACTGCCAACTCCCCGACCCAGAAATGGATTAAGGGGAAGAAAATGGATGGGTGGATGGACACCAAAATAATGCTTCACAAAATAATAAGAAATGAAATATAAAATAAACAGTAAAAAGTAGGCAGTTTTAAGAAGGTGGGTTTTGAGCGGTGTTTTAAAATTCTGGATTTTTTTTAAAAAACTGACTTTTATGAGCTTTTTACCTTGTTACACATTGTTCACTCACCAAAAACAAGCTTGGAGTTGGGAAAAGAACACCTTTCGATCTCCTAAATCCTTATAGGGGAGATCTTTGTATCTTTGCTGGTTATTCTTTACTGACTTTTTATCTATATGCAGATGTTTTCTTGTTTGTGTTGTCCAATTAAAGACCATTCATTCATTTGTTCATTTATTTTTTTGTAAGGCTTACATTCTCAGTCTTTGGAACGTGGCGTTTAGATAAACCTATGTTTGTTATTCTGTACTTTCTTCCACAGGTCAAGACCGGACAGAGGCGGGGCTAATAAAGCGTTTCCGTGGAGATGGTGTGCGCTACAAGGCCAAACTGATTGGGATTGATGATGTGACGGCGGCGCGGGGAGACAAGCTGTGCCAGGACTCCATGATGAAGCTCAAGGTGCGTGTGTTTTATGAGATGAGTCAGAGCGGCCGTCTGTGACTCACTGAGGCCCTGTGCAGACCTGACCACTCGGAACAAACGCAGTCTGATGCAACCACGTTTAGGGCAGAGGTACACAGATGTGGTAACTTAAACAACAAGCTGAGTTAAAGCTGGAGTGTCGAACTTCTATAATCATTCATCAATCGTATGAGGACAGAGTGAGGACAAAAATGTAGTACTTGTCGGGCTATTAAGCATACCTGTATATAAACCGGACCAGCTAAATTTGAAAAGAAAGTACATTTTGTCCACACGTATAATATAAGCTAATATAAGATGTAGGTTTTCATGTTGTAATGTAGCACTGAATTCTGTATTACAAGCTGATTATACTAGAACTAATTCTATAGGCCTGCATGATTTTAACTACAAGTCTAATTTCAACATTTCTAACCAACATTATAATTTAAACATATCTTGCATATTTTAGTGTATTTTTGTAAAACTAATGTGAGTAAAAATAAATTCAATAAAGTTACATAGATATGATAGATATTAATAAAGCAATTACCTTAAACATAATTCCCACATATTTCAGAGTTCTAACCTATGAAACACATGTTGACAGTTTTGGCTTGAATAAATCATGAAAAAGATTAAATGACTCAAAGACAGGACTCAACCTTGGTCCTTTGACAAATCTTCAAAACACTTAAAGCAAGTGACTCTTTTGTTTCAGAGAACTTAATTAACGTGGCCTAAGGAAACCGTGATGATTAACTAATTGCCGACGCAGAAACTTCAATTCGATTGCAATTAACCTATTCTATACCTCTACAATTTCCTTCAAGTGAGAGTGGATCATTTCCTTGGGCTTATAAAAATGTGAAAGCTCCAAAATGTAGATTCAGCCCATTCCTTGTGCGATATATCCATCTTCACACATTTCCCAGCACTTTCATGTGACATTTCTGCACTGTCCTCCACATGACTGCAGTCTTGAGCGGCCGACATCCAGCTTCAGTCAATGGGTCAGTCGATACAGACCTGCTATTATCTGGACCGGGCATAGAGAGAGGACAGGATCCTTATTGAGCGGCCTCTTACAGCCTCGAGGAGTAATCCACCAAATGGAGAAGCCAATTCTTGATTGACAACATTCATCGACCGTCCCGCCCATCACCTTTTTTCACTCATTTTATCTCTTCCTCATCAAGCGCTTCTTCATGTCCGACACTTGGCTACATGTGGTTCCACTCAGACATGTGAGAGGGATTACAGGTGTTCCATCTGTTCACACCTCGGGACCATCAGTGTAATGGCAGCAGTGACATTCTTCACCTCAAGGAAAAATAGCTTGGCATTTGTGGCGCATTGAGTTTCTTAAATGCCAAATGCTCTTAATTGCTGTGAGTCAACAACCAAGGTGGGAAAGTAAATATATGCACAAACAACTTTCACTAGTGCTGCTTTGTAAAACCACTAGGGCACCGTTTAAACGGAGACGCTGCAGAGACGCTGCAAAGCAATTAGCAAAAACGACCAGGCTCTTTATTCTAAGTGCACAGCGTCTACACAACGACGGAAAACGATGTAGATCTAGCACACGGCCAGTAGTATAATCACTTCCTCAACAACATCCTGCTCAGGCCGCCGTAAAGCCGGGAAATAAAGCACCAACATCATTCTGCATTTAACAGCAGCAGCAAAAATGGAAACTGAATCTAGAGCTTCAAGTGGTTTCGCTTGGTCGGACAAAGGATTCTCCTCTGTGTAGCACTTGAAGCACATGTAGCATTGGTTGTTCCGCCGCCATTGTTGTTTACGTCTGTTCTCGGCTATGCGCATGTCAAAATGTAAGTGCTGAGAAGTGCAGTCTGTTCTGTTCCACTCTGGAGGCTGTTTCTAAACGCTTGCGTTTTCACCTGAAGCACCGTTTTCTTGTAAACAAAAGGGCAATCCAATACCCAACTCTTACATTTCACTGTCTGATGCGTGGAACATGGTGCTCATAGTGACTTTGCAGCACTTAAAATGCAGTAGAGAAGTAAAATAATGTTTGTAACACAACAAAGAGACAGTTATAGAACACACAGTATAAGACACACTAATCATAAATAGAATACACAGTGAATCACACCTGATGTTACATAGCCTCTCTTTAAACAGAAGCTGTAGAAGTATTAGTTTTAAAGTACAGATAATTCTAATGGGATCCAAGTAAATGTGACAAAGTCCTTCCTTTACTTATCCGGTAAGTAAAGGTCAAGAAGTACAAGCACAAATAGTTACTTAATCAAGGTTGATTCACACATGGAGGTAAGTTACGGCTAACCACAATGAATGAGGCAACTTGGAAGCATGGCTATCTCCAATCAATTAACTAGCTTAGAAGTAGGGCTAACTACAATTAATGTGTTAACTTACGAGCACAGCCAACCACAATGAATTACATAATTACCTTTGAATCAAAGCTAAAAACATAGAATTAATTATCTTAAAAGCATGGCTAACAACAACAAATTAATGAATTTATAAGCGCAGCTAACCACAATTAATTGTGTGGATACCGTAGAAGCATAGCTAACCACATTGGGAGCTTTTTCTCCTTTTTATGAAGGCTCATCTGCAAAGTAACGAACCCCTTTTAGAAATGTATGGGGGGCAAAGTATCATTATTTGTATTTTTTGGTAGAAAGCTGTAAGAGAAATAAGAGTCAAGTAAAATACAGATACCAGGAAGAGTAAAAATACTTAGTTACTTGCCACCTCTACCTTTAAATAGCTTACAATACATCATTTTGAAAGCTCAGCTCAGACTCACAGGAGACGGTGAAGATCACACGTCAACATCCGCTGCTGCTGTCTCCTTGTCCCTGGTGGGTTTGGTTCTATATGAAAGACGTGTCAAGTGCACATAGGTAACCCTCAGACAGATCGCCTGTTCAACTGGTAATTATCTAAGAACGCTGAAGAAATCAAGCTGCTGAGATTTAAAGGGGGGGAAAATGACTTCAAAGGCTGGGGCGGGTTGCTCTGTCAGCACTCTGCGGAGTTGTCAGAGTTGCTCCTTGGTCGGTCAGCAACGAGATCTGTCCCGTCAGCAAGTATCACCTTTTTAGCTGTTAGCGCGCGCTTGTCGTAGAAGTAGAACAAGTTAAATGGAAACAATGAGGCCGTATGACAAGTGAAGCTTCGGAAAGTCACACGTAACAGTACGGTCTTTGTCCCATAAAGAGATTACGTAACAGCCGTCACGCTCACCTGAATGGGCACAGTCTCGCTTGATTCTGTCAGCTTCATCTCCTTTCATCTCATGTAGTTTCTCTTATCTATTCTCAGGGAATGGCATCGTCGGCACGTTCCAAAGGGGAGCACAAGCAGAGAGTCTTCTTGACGATCTCTTTTGGGGGAATCAAGATGTACTGTGAACGATCTGGGGTGAGTTGCATGCTGGGAGTTGTGGTTCTCTGTGCGGTGCGGGACAGTTTGGTGGGCAGCGGGGTCAAGGCCCATCACACTGACTGCATCACAAGAATCGTTTTATTTTGCATTTATTTAGCTGTCTCATTTAAATTAGAACACACACACATACACACAAACTCCCTCTGAGTTTTTTAAGGCTCAATATTGTTCTTTGGTTTAAACACAGACATTTCTTTGTCCGAGGAGAAATGCCAGCAATGATGTACGTAAATGCCGTCAGAACTGAAAGGAACATAACAAAATGATAAGATTGCTAATCTTAAAGATGCCTATATGATACACATATTGGTAAAGAATTAAAACTACAAAAACATCTCTGCAGCTACACACACATATTGAGGCCTACACCTACATAATAATACACTAGACGACAAGACCGGCAGTGCAACTTTAGATGTCCCATGGCCTAAATCACAGGACAGATGTGGGCGGGACTTAACTGGAGGCAGAAAATATGAAGGAGATGATTTTCGGTTATGAATGCTTATTGTGGTGTTTTGGGACATCAGAATACTTGTGCACTTGTACCTGCACAGTACAATACTTTAAGATAAAAAAAAAACAATAACGGCTAAACATCCAATAAGTGGCTAAGTTGAAACACAAGAAGAGTGAGTGCATACAGGGATCAAAAAATATAATACAGAGGATCCATGTGTGTATATTACGACAATAGATGCATTCTGAAACCATTATTTCCATTAAGGTAACATTGTTCTCCATTTGCTTGAAGTGTTATGGTCGGTTAAATGTCAAATTGATGGAGAAGCAAGTTTTCCAAGGCTGTGAATACCAAAATGCATAGAATGTGCAAATCTCATCACAAAAGACACACAGTACATCTTGATATGTGCTTTACATTAAATTACATATCTTGGCCTTAGAATATCCAAAACTAGAAAACAATATTAACTTGCTGATTCCATCTGCAAAAAGACGAAGCTTCAAATCAGGACACTCGTAAACATGGAAGACAAGTTAAAATAGTGACTCTTTCATGTGAGACCAGAGCCAGAGCAAAGCAGGACACAGGACTTACTGTACGAGTCTGGTTGTATCTGAGCGTCCTTCACCCCTGACACAAACCCCTCTGCCACATTATGGGATGATGGAGGGGATCAGGCCTCCTCCCCGTCCCGCGGCAGTGTTGGCAGTGCACCGGCCGCTCTGCTCATCAGTTGCAGTCGATAATTAGCAGTCAGTTCCACCCCTGATGATCATTTGTGCTAATGATGACTACGTGTGGGTTTCTCCTCGGACTGCCCGGCTGCTCACGTCATCCCACAATAACATTTGTCCCCTGGCTTCTGACCTCTGCCTTACCTCACCACACTTCTTCAAGAACATTTAAGCACTAGGACTCATAAAGCATATTTAAGAATCAGATTTATTGCATTGTCATTATCAGTGAGCAGGAAGTCGCCTTTGCTTTGACACATATGTTGTAACAGCAAATCATAAAATAGTAAAAACTATATAGAAACGTATACGTCAAAATCTAATATATAAATCACCTTTATTTAGCATCTACCAACTGCTAAAGCAGCTTTCAAAATGTGTTGGTAAAGCCTTTTTCTATCATTTTGCTCATTTTGCCTGGTTTTGAATCAATAGCCACCTAAAGTAACCCGGACACCTGCATGCTGGCTGTCTGCCATTTGACTCAGAGTAAATCCCCCAATGGCAAGCAGCGTTCTCCAAACCACCAGCCAGATTTGACAACCCAATTTGTTACTGAAGCCCCCCAGGCGATCTTTATTTTATTCACTGATTACCCCGAGTACAGTAAATAACCCATCATGTCCAATGTCCCCGGTTATTTGGTTGAATCTCTGCAGCAGTGCTGAGAAAAAAATACCTTTTATGTTAAGCCGACATGAAATAACTACACCAGACATATTATCCCAGAGTTTGACAATAATCTGAGGTTTTATGAATATGTCTACCCACAGGATGTGTCTAATATCAGCTAATACACAAGCACGAGCTCCTCCCTAGCGCTCCAGCTTATCTGTGCTAATAGCGTTGCGGCAGGAGGGTGCGAGAATGACAGCAAAATGACCGTGTGTGCGTGTGTGTGTGTGTGTGTGCACGTGTGTGCACGTGTGTGTGTGTGTGCGTGTGTGTGCACGTGTGTGTGCGTGTGTGTATGTGTGCACGTGTGTGTGCGTGTGTATTCTTCTTTGTTCCCGACTGTGTCATATGTTTGGATCCAGAAATTAGAATGGGTAACATGTTTACAGAACAGTAAAAATTGTGTTCCTTCTCACTTTTAATGTAGAAACAGCATCATAACTTTAAGGTGTTTTATTTTCCATGGTTTTAAACTGTTGCTACTGTCTCGGAAGTATCTACTTTTTTGTCTGGGCTGTTTATTGAATCTTTAAAAGTATCACTTACTTTAGAAAAAAAACTATAATCACTATAATTACATTGTGTTAAAACTGGTGAATCTACTTTCACTTTAAGAAGTGTTTTTTGAGGAGATGCTAAATGCTAATGTGGCTGTACTAGTCAGTCCCATGTATCAGAGTTTCTGATGATGATATGCAGTATGTTTTCATCATGTTTTGTTTGTGCAGATTCTCCTGCATCACCACTCTGTCCACGAGATCAGCTACATTGCCAAGGACACAAGGGACCATCGTGCCTTTGGTTATGTGTGTGGGAAGGAGGGCCACCATCGCTTTGTGGCCGTCAAAACTGCACAGTCTGTGAGTGCTCATCTTTCTTTGCTTTTTTGTAATTTAGACCAATATTTTATTTGCCTCCATAGTGCACATGATGCAGATAGTTTGATTCATTCTCCTGATCATTTTGTGCTTGTGCTTTTACCTTGAAGGCTGAACCCCTTATCATCGACCTGCGCGACCTTTTTACACTGATCTATGACATCAAACAGCGAGAGGACCTGGAGAAGAAAGTACAGAAGGACAAGCACTGTGAGCAGGCAGTGTATCAGGTGTGGAGGGATCTTCATGCACTTTATAAAGCTATTCTATACACAGAATATTGCTGCCAGTATATAACCAAAAGCGTAGTTATTCAAGCAAACTCTTAGGAGCCATTTTCTGACTAACAAAACCTTGTGTCCTTCAACTGCAGACCATTCTGGAGGATGAAGTGGACGACCCAGTTTACCAGGTAGGCCTGTGGGCACACAGACCACATCATTTCTAATGTAACGCTTTCACTAGAGCTGATATCTATAATTCGAGTAAAGGCTTTCCGTTTAAAGATGCTATGTGGAACATTCCGAGCTGAATGGATTTTTACAATTTCAAATATATATATGTATAAACAGACTATTGTTCTTCAAATACTACTAATACTTTTTTCAATTTGAAGGTCTTAAATATTGAAGTTGTTCCACAAAGTATATTTAAAGTCAGTCAGTTATTTTGCTTAAATTAATGACTCCATACATCACCATACCAATAATATTATGCATCTTTGAAGACAGTTTTTTTCAACCATCCGACTGTCATTTGCCAGTGCAGTGTTGTAAAACCATGTTTGAGTTGATCTATGTAGTGATGTGGCCCTGGTTGTACCCCTGCCCTTTCCTAATGGACATGTGTGTTTTGTTCCTATGTGTTTTTGCTCTCACTGAATACAGACAACACTAACTCTTATCTTGAATTCTATGTTCAGTGGTTACACCATTATATAACTCTATTTCCATTACGCCATTCATTTGCAGTTTTCACTTCTGTTAATGTTGGTTGACAAAACTTCAGACAGTGGCCAGTATATTTATTTCAGATCCATAGACTTTTTAGATTGTTTTGAGTACAGAGGATCTCAAATAAATATTCTGATCTCTGGATCTATATTATTTTGTATTCGTATTCTCAAAGAGGTGGAGCATCACTTCACTGATGTTTAAGGAAGACCTCAAGCTTGGATTTCATTGCCTTGAACTACTGCCTGACCTATTATACTTGTGCTCTTCCCTCTCTCCCACATCCACCCACTCCAACTACATCTCCCATAATCCATCTCTTCTGTGCTTTTATTTGTTTTATTTTATGACTCTTTTAACCTGATTTCTCCCCCCTTGCCCTCTCCATTGTTGCCATCATTGTGTTTCTTAGTACATAGTGTTTGAGGCTGGACATGAGCCGCTGCGAGTCCCTCAGTCAGAGGAGAGCGTTTATCAGGTACAAGACTTAAGCCTTAAACCTCCCCTTCACTTTACTGTTATTTTACAAAGTGTGGCTTTACTAAGAAATAGTCCGTAACAGTATGTAGATGACAAATTCGAATGTCTGCAACGCCACATAAACTAGTGTGCTAGATCATTGACGGATCATATATTTATTTGAGAGATTTTAAGCATTGCCTTCAAAGCCCTAACCGTTGTCTAAATGTATCGCACTGGCAGGCAATATATATAAAAATCATTAATTGATAAACTTAGAAGCATGGCTAACCACTTCAAACCTGTTTTATGTTGTTTTTGTCGTATTCAAAGTAACCAGTAAAATAATTCAGAGCCTTGAAGTAAAGTACTGATTCCAAGATAAAATACTTAAGCACAGTACTTAAGTAGAAATACTCACTAGCGCTATGTACTTGTGGTGGATGTTCAAAGAGCGGTATTTTGACAGTATTTGTAGTTGGACAGAGGAGTAGCGTAGTGAGATTGTGATGGCCGTAGGGAAACTCGTGCTGCTAATAATAGTAGTCGTGACATATTTTACACGCTTCATACACAATCAGTCTTAGAAAATATTGTTCTAACTATTGTTTATGGAACATTACACACAGTTGTGCTTGTAAGATTACACATCCAAGCAGAAATGTTGATTTTTGTTGAGATTACGAACGATAACGTAACGACTTTTTTCACTTGTTGTTTTAGCGTTTGTGTGACGCCATTTATTGCCAATTAAATGTGATTTCTGTTTTCAACGTATAACAACAACAGAAACTACTGAGCAGAAGTTTCCACCCCCCCAGTTCAATTCAAAAGCTTGAATTTTCCCTTGAACATCTATGTCAGCTTGGAGTCCGTTCTGGTAATTGTGGATAAGGCTCTTTCTCGTCTCTGATGGTAAAGCTGCCCATTTTTCTCGGCATAAGCCTGCAGTTCCTGTAAATTCCTGGGCTGCCTTGCATGAACTGCATACTTGAGCTCTCCACAGATAAGCTCAATTAGATCCTGACTTGAAAATAGAATACATGTCTATTTAGCAACAGATGGCTCCACACAAACAGTAAAAAAAATCTATCTGGCTTGGTGTGTAAACTCTCAAACATGACAGTATTTAGAAAACCATGCCGACAAACTTAGCTATAATTTGGCGTAAATTTAAAGTGCTGCAAAGTCAAGGTCAGTTGTACAGACCGCCTCTCTGATACCTTTTACTTTGAAGGAACCTCGGAAGGACGCAGGGGAATGTTTTAATCCCCCCTCCTCTTCTCTCTCCTCTGCCTTTTCGCATGTGCCATCCTCTGAAGATGAAAGATGCAGAGAGGCAGGCAGATTAATCACTCGCCATGCCATTTGATCTGAGCGAGGGCCAAACAAGATCAATAGACTCGGGGAAAGTTAACCAGATGAGAGGCCACAGAGAGTTAAAATGAATGAAATAAGCAAGAGGAAGAGGTTTTTCTCTTATTGTCAGCTGGTGGAGGCACACTGTTGCAGCATAACAATGGCTCTTCTTAATACTCACACAGGCGGCGCTTGAAAGCAATATTGATTTAAGAGGAATTGATTCCGTAGCGCGACTGTGGAATCTACATAATCCCACGGCACCAAAAGATAACGTTACATCTTTGAAACAAGGCTAAATTGAATAGCACATGCGTAGTGAGTTTTTACACTTAGAGTTGGGTTTTTTATAGGCTCTTTTTAGCTCAAACTTTAAAACTATGTTGTTTTGTTTTCTAATCTTTCTTTGAATTGACCTCCAACCCAACGCAGGTCCCAACCAGTCAGCAGAAGGAAGGGATCTATGATGTCCCAAAACGCCATTTCTTCACTGTAGGTGTTTGATTTAATTATGTGTTTGGTTATCTCTGCCACATGCAAACCTCTCTGAGCATCACACTGAAGGAAGCAACATATCTTTAGCATCAGATTATTGCGTACATGCACGAAACTGCTGTGAAACACTCATTGGCCATGCACCGCCTTCTTTGAAAAATACAACAAATTGATTAGGTAGGCAAAGAGAGACATGTAAACCATTTCACACAACATTGGAGCGTTGGGGTTCAGATCCAACATCCCAAATTGGACACATGTTGTGCAGTTGCTATTACCATGACGGGAAAGCTGTTTCCTTCACGAGATGAAGAGGTTTGTAAGTGGGTGCATGCAGTGTAGCCACAAATATGTAGATCACTCATAAGAGCATTGAATTTGATTATGTTCCACCTCAGTAGAAGTCTTTTAAAATCCTGAATTAAACTTTCCAAAGAATAACTTTTTAGTCTTGCTGTTGTGTGCTTGTTGCTTGGCATATCAACCCAGATAAACTGCCCCGGCCTCTCGCTATCTCAGCTGAACAGCCCATGCCCATACAAGTGGCAGCGCTTCCATATCTCTTTAAGTGTTACTGCTTGTCTGTTCATTCAGTTGGAGCTTTATTTGAGTACCTTGGAGAGTTCCCATGATGTGTGCCTGCAGGGAGACACCTTCTGTGAACAACCTTTTTACTTATTATCACAAGTCCGAGCAGTCCCTTCAGTTGTTCCGAAAAAGTCTATGTTTTATGCCCTGTTTAAAAAGGACATAATATCTTGTTAGAATCACAATTATCAGTGATTCTTGCTGTCTTTTGTCTATGTCTGTTCCTTATTTATTGCATGTGATTCATTGTCTGCTTTGCATGGCCCCAGCGACATTTCATGCGACTGAGCCATTTCATAGTGTCTTTTGGAGCCGTGACCCCCACTCCACCGAAAGGGGAGGTCAAGGTGGCGTCTTTGTTTTGGTTGGGTGGTTTCTATGAGCCACTACTTTATGAAATGAATACCCTCTTGTGTGTATATCTTGAAGCTGCATAATGAAGTGGACCCTCTTGCAGGGCTCCTCTGATTGTCAGAAATAAGAATATCTAATCAAAAGCTTTATAAGTGAAAAGCCTTTTACCCACTCAATAATAGAGCCTTGAAAGCCTAATTTTAGATTCATTTTCTGATAATGAAATGAAAAGACAGTTGTTTCTTGTTACCCACACCCCACCTGCCCACCCAACCATGCAAGCTCAAGGATCTGGGGATTTTGATTCCCAGAGGACTTCTTATTATTCTGATGTATCATCTCTCTCTTGTCTCTTTAAATTCACAGAATATCAACCACTTTGATTTATTCGGAGACATGTCCACTCCTCCTTCAGTGAGTATTGCTGATTTTAAAACATGACCATTAAAAACCGGAGTGATGTGACTCCTGTTTAACGCTATACATTACAGTTATTCCTACAGAGACTGTCGTCCTCTAAGGAGAGAGTAGTGCTGTCTGTGAGATGAATCTGACCTCTTTGTTTTTGTGTCTGCTACTTCCAGATGCCGCCGTCTCCTGCCAACACTCTGGACCCGAGCCGCAGCAGTCGCCATCAGCAACATGCTGCTGCTGCAGAGCTGTACGCACCGTTCAGCCCCACGTCTGTGCCATCAGGTAACCTTACACATGCATACTTTAGTAATGACAGCTGTATCTCACTGTGCACCTTCCTCTTCAGGATACATGACTATGGGGCCAGTGCAGGCGGCGCAGTGGGCACAGCAGGGCTTTGCTGGACAAGCCCAGACTCTTGCCTTTCCTGTTCAAGGGCCTCTCCAGGTGGCACAGGTCCTGCCCAGCGGCCAACCACTCATCTGGAGCCAGGCCAACATATTCCCTGCCACACAGCAACAGTGGGCGGCTATGGCGGCCTACATGCCAGCTCAGACTGTGGGAGTAGGAGGCCACGCCATCCCCACTGCCATGTTGCAGGGGCTGGTGCCCGTGGCCGTGTGTCCTCAGGCCTGTGAGCTGTCCGCACCCTCTTCTGCCATCACCAGTCCTCAGCACAGCGCAGACCCCACACTTCTACAACGCCAAATGAGTCTCCGAGACGACATCGATGCCGGAGAGGGGCCCTCGTCCTTAGTGCTGATGAGTGTGGGTCTTGCCTCAGCCACAGTCAGCAGGTGTGGGACCCCGGGCCCCATGAGTGGCCCTGACACTCTTGTGTGCAGTCAGCTCCCAGCGTCCTCTGCACAGGAGGAGGACGGCTGCTGCAGTGACCTTGACCTGTCCCGTATGACCTTGAGTCCAGGGACATCAACGTCTCCATCGAGCGAATCACGTATGTATTTGATGTATGAGCAGTACCGTTTCATAGATCTTTATAAAGTACACATCAAGTAAATGGAATTACATCTACGAAGAAAAATCCTCTCATGTGGCTGTATGTTCTGCGTGCAGCCTCGACTCCAGCCCCTCACCAGAGCTCTACCCAGGCCAGTGATCCCCTCCTGGAGCCCCCTATGGACACAGTGAGCACCAAGGAGGAGCCCGCGGTACACACTCACTTTACCCAGTGACTGGCATAATGCTGTAATCCATTAGTGTCAAAGGCCTCATGAGTTCTCAGCTGGAGTTTACATCTGCTCCCAGCAGAATATCATGAGGATTGATTTCTGCCCAGAAAAAATGTCAAGTCAATTATGCGTTAAAGGTCAAAGACAATTTATGAGTTGTGATTAGACATAATTATACATTAATTACTACTACCATTCTGATTGTAGTTAAATACAAAATGGTACTCAACTTTAAGGAAGGAAGAACTCCCACACACTGTCTCACTCTCTTGAAGAAATATTGAATGGATATGTACAACATTTCAGTCAACAGACCTTTTTAGGGTTTCAGGGATAGCTCCATCCGCTCCCACATTTATCATACATCTTCTCAAATTCATTATTGTAAACAGTTCCACAAGACACCATTCAAAAGTCTCTGTAAATAGGTAAAGGGACAATGGTGTCTTAACCAATGCAAGGGCATACACATGTAACTTTCAAAGGTTCTTCTTCAATACAGAGAGATTGAAATAATACTTTCAGCTAGTTTTGAAATTTTTAGCCCAAAATGTCTTTTTTTTTTCCCAATAACATGATTTGTGGATTGTTTTTATATTTTTTTCTATTTCATTGGTATTTTGATAAAATGATTACTTTGAACTGTTTGAACAAAATAAGTACAGTTCAGATTGGATTGAGCTAAAAACATTTTTAACTCTTACTAAATGCATGCTGGCTTCAAGATATGAAAAGGAAAGAAAGTAATCTCTAAAATGATTGTTCTATTCCTCACAGAGCTCGTCTGATGCGGGGCCAGTGTCTCCTGAACCTTGTGCAGATGTAGATCCGGTGCAGGATCAGTGCTGTGAAAACACTGACAGCTAGGACACAGTGCACTCAGGTAAATGAGCCACACGTCTCTCTTTACACAACTATTTACAAAGTACTTTCCTCTGTCCTTCCTTGTCCTTCATTTTGTTTTCTACTCAATTGGGTCAGAGTCTTCATGTCTCACTGTGTAAGAACGTGCTGGCAGAAATAGAGGCTGAATGTTGCCCTCTGGTGTTTCTTTGTGTAACTGCAACTCTGGTCTTCTCTCTTGTGTTTTAGTTGGAGGGCTCAGAGAAAAGAGGGAATGATGCTGAACTGCATCTGAAGCATTTTTTCCGCAACAGACTTTTGTGCAACCTTTAAAAGGACACGAATCATTTGCTTTCTGCAAGAGGCCATATACTGTACACATCCATAAATGAACCAGGAACATTGACCATTGAACATTGGTTTGTATTAGTCCTGGCTCTGTTCGAGGCTCCTATGGAGGGGGACTGAGAGAAGCAGCTGATCCCCATGAAGACTGGATCAGCAGATGGATTTGCCAAAAGCTCGCATCCAGTGTTTCCTGACTCATCCATTTGCATGTACGAACAGGTCCATGGACTTCAGAGCGTCTCCTTTGAGGAGAACAAATCAAGATAAGCTTGTACTCAATATTTTCTAAGCTGTGAAGTATTATTGATGATGCAGAGACATAAAAAATATCAGATGGCTCTGAAACATCAATCTTTTAATCAAATTTGCCAAACATTTATTTTGTAAATAAGAATCGTCCCAATGCCCCAGCCCTGAGCCTCTGTGCCATACAATGCTCTCTGCCTCTGCCATCTTCTGTGTGTCCCACCAGCACCTCCATAGACGTCTGGATGTTCCTTAGCTTTCGCTGCCATTTCTACTTTTCTTCTGTTTACTTATGAACTGTGAATCTGTGTTACATGGCCATTTGGAATAAAACATGTCTCACCTGTTGTGAACTTCAGAGATGAAAAGAAGATTTTCCAGAATAAATAATTTTATAAGAAATAGCAGCACTTACTGCATATTAATGTTTTATATCACTGTATCATTCACGTTTTAGTTCTCAGTTGTGTTGAGCCCAATCTCTGATTCAGAGAAAGACTGTGTCATTGCCTTATGTTAATTTTATTGGCGTTTTTGTTTCAGTGCGGTAAACGGCTCACAGTTTTTAGCTCAAACAATCTCACTGACGCTGTTAAATGCAAGCCGTACAACTTTGGCCCTGCCTGTAAAATAAGAAAGAAGAAAATAAGACAAAGCCCAAATGTTTTGTACATTTTATTTATAGAACTGGGAGCTCAGTTGACATGAAAAGATGAAAGAGACTTTTGTACGTCTATGACCTCCCCATTCACTGTTCCCATGCTACTGTTCATCACAATAAAATAACATGTGATTACCATATGGTCTGTACTTTTGTGTATCATTCCTTTCTATACAAACATAAATACAATCGCAGTGATAAAAAGCATGAGATTTAAATATTATACAAGCATAATTACCAAGGAATCCCAGAAGGCTCTTGGTCTATAATTTCTGCCAATCAGAGCAAACATTTACTAAAGGTAAATGTTTGCAAATGACAAGTACAAGGTGCATTAACGGGAAAGCGTTTCGTCATGACTTCTAGCTTATTTATTCTTCTGTCAGAGCTGTCATTTACTCTGACAATAACATTCTTTGTAAATCTGCACTCAGTGAACAGAGACTCGAGTGTTTGAAGTGGACTTCTAATCACCAGTTTATTTCTGGGCCTTTATCGATCAGTCTTTGTTGACAGGGACAGCAGTTGTGTTGATCCACTCTCAGTCCTGCTGCAGCCATGTCTCCCCGAGTGAGACACATCTGTTTACTGCATCTAACTCTGGGCGTCTGCTTTCTGAGGTGAGGAAATCGCTCTGCTTCACTTTTATCCACATGTCAACCCATTTTTAAGACCTGAGCAGAATTCAGGCTTAGAGGGTTATTATATAAGACAAAGAAGAAGCTAGTACTGCTTCATTATCTGACATGTTTTAGCAGTACTCACTTTGTCTCACAAAAGTGTAAAGAGGGTTTAGGTTTTGGTTTAGGGTAAATATTAGGGTAAAGTTTTGGGTTATATGTTGTTATTTACTTGGTAATATCAGATTGTGCTTATTCTTATGTCTAAGAGTCGTTTCTTCAGGCCTGCTTATATACATATTATTTATACATATTTTTGAATATTGTCATCACTTCTGAACACCTTTATGGGAAAAGACCATTTCTTATGTACTGTGAAAGTTTGTGATTGTTTTTTGTTTCAAGTGGATTGGCTCAGGAATTACAGATAAATATATCATTTACATTATAGCTATTGTATAAATATATAAGTTACATTACCTCCACCACAATTTTAAACACCAAGCTTTAGACTATTGTGATGTCACATGAACACAACCCATGTTCTACTGTATTTTTAGCACCTTGCAAGCCACAAAGTCAGGGCATGTGTCTGTCCGCCAAGCTCCCAACAGTGACGTAGTTCTTCCAGTGGACTGCACTGTGTCCGAGTGGAGCGAGTGGTCAAGATGTGACGTCTGCCAGAAGAAGAGGGTGTGTATTTTTATAATCCTACATACATATGATTTTGTTGCTACATTGATTAATACAACCAGATTAAAGCCATCATCCAAAACACAAAAAATGGAATGAAGGAACTGGTGTCACTATCCTTTGTAATAGATTTAAAGCAGCCTTATGTAAGAAATATTCAATTTAAGACCAGCAGAGGTAGACAAGTTATGGATTTTACACTCAAGAAAAAACAGTATGAAGTATTGTGTCAAATACATATATTTCAAGTTCAAACAGTGATTACTGGAACGGTGGCTGAGTGCATAGCACTCTCGCCTCGCGGCAGGGGGATCCAGGGTTTGAATCCTGGTCGGAACAGGGCCTTTTTGAGTGGAGTTTGCACGTTCTCCCCGTGTCTGCGTAGGTTTCCTCCGGGTGTTCCGGTTTCCCCTACCACTAAAAAATATGCTCACTAGTTAAAATAATCCAGCTCCGGTAGTCCTGACCAAGCCGAGCATTAACATCTGGAGATGGGTTCCCGGACGCTGTACTATGGCGACCACTGCTCCTGACGTAGGCCTTAGCGGTATCAGGATGGGTCAAATGCAGAGGACAATAAAGTGAACATTTACATTTACATATGTGAGTTTGCGGGTTTGAAATGCACTCTAGTCTTAACAATGTACTGAGTGACTGTTACGGGCCTCTATACTGTAGCTGTTTTATGTGCACTCCCTGGCCTGTCTCCTCTGCTGCACCCCTGCACTCAATCTCATCCACTTTGTACTGAGCAGATTAATAACCTTGGCATGACAAAGTGAAAACAGGAGGCTAATCTGATTGTAGCTGTTACAGTCCCCCAGAGCTGCCTCTCAGCTCCTCAAGCTCCTTTTATTGGCTATTGTTGCTGTTTATTGCCGGCGTTTATGTTGCTCTCTTGTCTCCCCTGCAGTACCGATTCGCTAAGCTCAGGCAGCCTTCACAGTTCGGAGGAGAGCCGTGCCATTCTCATGACAGAGAGGAGGAGGCCTGCCCTGACTCTGCCCGCTACACATGCAGCAACATCCCAGTGTGTGAGGGCTTCCTATGCCCTCGCACAGGTCTGTGTTTGGCTCAATTCAATTAGATTTATGTTTCATTCCAGGGGTGTCAAACAGGTTCGCAAAGGCCTTTCTGGAACTGGTTTGACACCCCTGTATTATTATATTATAGCACAATTCATGCACAAAGCAAATGGAAAAATAAAGATACCTTGAACCTGGAACCTTGAAATGAAAGTGCTGAACAGAATGAGATCACACAAGGCATTAAAATAAGTACATGTGATTCAAATCCCTCTGTTGTATGCACCGCTAAACAGAACTGTTTTGAACATTGTCAGAGAAGAGGCCTGTCTCATTGTACCGTGAAATTTACACAATTATCACTGCTATTGATTTTTAAAGAGACATATTTTACAGGACAGATTTCCCTCCAAAATGTTGTATTTATTTATTTGACTTGCAGTGCACATTCATGAACAACAAGGTAAACATGCCAGATTATAGCAAAATACAGTGTATTGTCCCTAGGCAGGAAACACAAGTGGAAAATACATTACACTACATGTAATAATAATAACAGACATTTAAAACGCTCACATTCCAGTTATGTCCATGTTATATCCGGTTATATCAGAGGTCTAACGGGATCTGTCTTTTGCATGCAAGTTTTTATACCATAGTTTCATTTGTTAGGTACCCCAGCTTTAATCCAGAAATACTGTAAATAAACTAACTCATTTATATACTCCTGCAGGTCGATGTATTCCTCGCACATTAAAATGCAATGGGGAAGACGACTGTGGGGATAACTCTGATGAGGTGGGCTGTAACGGGGACTTCCATCCTTGCACAGAGTTTGCTGAGGAGTATTGGGGCATTGAAAACCTGGCCAAGGGGTTTGTCAATCAATATTATGTAGATCTAGATAGAACCTAAACATCCTCCTCTGATAAGACGTCTCCACACACTCCAGGATCAATATCCTGAACAGCAAACTGGAGGGAGTGGTGCTGGACAACAGGTACTACGCGGGCAGCTGCCTCCCACAATACATTCAAGATAATAGATTCAGAAAGCCCTACAACCTACAGCAGTACACACTCAAGGTAAGTTACGCCAATGACTGGACTAAGTCGTGTTTGTGAAGTCCAATGGCTTTGTAATTCTAGTAATAATGACTAAGATTAGAGAACCAGAGAAGGCCCAAATGTGTCTCTTCCGCTAATCCAATCCACTTTATTTATATAGCACATTTTATAAAACAAGTGTCCAAGGTGCTGAGATAAAACAATATGAAAAAAAAAAAATTCCAGGATCATAGAGAGAAAAAACACTTAGGCCCAAAATGGTGATATGGCTGGATATGAACGGTTACTGAGCTTGAGCTAGAGGATGAGCCCTTCGGCACGGTGGCTGAGTGGATATTACTCCCGCTTCTCAGCGGGTTTGAATCCCAGTCGGAACAGGGTTTTTCTTTGTGGAGTTTGCATGTTCTCCCTGTGTCTGCGTGGGTTTCCTCCGGGTGCTCCGGTTTCCCCCACCACTAAAGACATGCACAATAGGTAAAACCCTCCGGCTGCAGGTAGTCCTGACCAAGCCGAGCATCAACATCTGGAGATGGGTTCCCAGACACTGTTACTACGGCGACCACTGCTCCTGATGGAAACCTTAGTGGCATCAGGATGAGTCAAACGCAGAGAATGAATTGCCCAACGGGGATAAAAAAAGTGCACCTTTACCTTTGGAGATTACTTTTCAATGTAAGTCAATAAAAGTCAGAGCAAGCTGGCTAATGTTTACATAGAAGGTTAGTATTGTCCATCCATATACAAGTCTATGCTTCTAATACAGTGCCTTTTGCTGTTTTTATTCATTTGCTGTAGACAGGCGGTAATTACGATTTCACCCTTGAGCATTTTGACACATACTCCATGTTTATGGAGCACACCATGCAGGAGTACACATCCAAAACTTCTTTTTCCATCGGCTTTGCAATCCCTGGGGTGGCTGAGTTTGGATTTAACTATGACGACTCCACATACTCCAAATCAGTAAAGAAGTTGCGCAGAGCAAGTGCCAAAGTAAGACCTTGAATTCAATTTATTGCCTTGGCATCTATGTTATAACAGTCTTTGGTCTCTTGTTTCAGACCAACAGCTTTATCAAGGCCAAAGCAGAAGTAGAGCTGGCCCAGTACATTCTTAAGAGTGATGAACTGATGCTCCACCCTGAGTTCCTGCAGCGACTCCGCTCCCTGCCGCAGACTTATGTCTACGGCGAATACAGACAGATTTACAGAGATTACGGCACCCACTACGTCACTGAGGCTGCACTGGGAGGAAGTTATGAACACACCATCATCATAGACAAAGAGAAACTGGAGAAAACTGGTGAGCGCAAGTAATTCAGCACATTTAAGAAAGCGACTTGACCAAGATGAGCGATCTCTTTGGACAGATTACACTTTGGACGACTACAAAAACTGCGTACAGGTCGGCATCAGAGTGGGGGCCAATATAGAAGGTGTCTATGTGACTGGAGGTGTGGAAGGGGGAGGCTGTGATGGACTTCTGACAGAGATGGGTGGTATGTACACTATGGCAGTGTTCCCAAAACTTTTTGAGTCACGGCACACCTTTTCCAATGAAAAAATCACATGGCACACCACCAGCTGAAACTTACACACAAATCAATCAATCAAATTGTAGTTTGGTTAAAAACAACCCCACATGCTTATGACCCCTCCACCCAACAGACTCACCCCAAACCACATATTGAGTACATTTACAACACATACACATGCTCACTTATGCACACGCACGCATGCACAGACACACACACACAAAATCACAAATTAGTAAAATAGATACATCCAAGACACTAAATAAGGCTGGGTGCCAGAGTAACCCTGTAAAAATGAAACTCTGCAGCCTTATTGAACAAAGAAAAGTAATTCTCCTCAAAGTGGATTATATAGAAAATCAAACATGCGCATCTCCCATTATTTTGTTATTATTTTGACCAATTAGGTGCTAGTGGATTATTTTTAAAGGTACACCAAACAACATCTCGAGGGACGCTAACATGCCACGGCACATTGATTGAAAAACACTGCACTGAATATTGGTAAATTGGACATTCAATAATGCAACCAACTTATCTCTTAGAGGACACAGTCAAGGGGCGGATGGTGGAGGATTTTGTGGCTATAGTGAAAGGTGGCAGCAGTGAATCCGTAACTGCACTAGTGTCAAAAAAACTGCCTGAAACAAATCTGATGAACCTGTGGGGTCGAGGAGTAGAGTACAACCCAGACTTCGTTCGACGAACAGTAAGTTATTCTATATATTTGGTATGTATGGACAAAGTTAATAAAATCATGGTCATTTTTGCAAACAGACGAGACCGCTGTACGAGCTGGTGACGTCTCGGGACTTCACGCAGAGTGACGTCCTGAAGATGTACCTGAAAAAATCCTTGTCAGAGTACCTGGAAGAGGTCAGCCCGTGTCGCTGTGCTCCCTGCCGCAACAATGGAGTCGCTGTGCTCAAAGGTATTGAGTGGTGAACTTTTATTCAAATAATATGAGTGAAGCTTTTATAAATGTAATGGAGGGGAACTAACTTTTTGTTTTAGCTTTTGACTTTGTTACAACATAGCCCTCCTATCTAAAGCCCCTTACTCAGCCCTGTATTAATGTGTTTTTGTACGTATTGCTCCTTGATTAGTTTCCACAATGTATCAGTTGAAATTACCTACATTTGGATAAAACAAAACAAACTAAATTCCTCCCTGGTGGTTGCTTATGGGAGTTGCAACTTTTAAATCACTCTCTGTGACTATAGGGACCAGATGTGACTGTATTTGTCCAAATGGCTATAGTGGAAGCGGCTGTGAGATCACCCAGCGCCCAACAGGTTAACATTAAAATATTTCATTTTTTTATTTTTATTTGTAACTGCATGTTAATTTCTTTTGTATAATCTGCATTTCTTGTCTTAGTTTTAGCCATTGACGGCAGTTGGAGCTGCTGGGGTGCGTGGTCGTCCTGTACCGGAGGCAGTAAGAGCCGGAGTCGAGAGTGTAACAATCCAGCACCGAGTAACCAGGGCATGGCCTGCAGGGGGCTGCCACAGGAGCCCGTGCAATGCTTTTAAAACCAGAATATTTCTACAATAAAGTCATTTCAACTCTTAAACTATACTGTACTGTACTGTACCAACTTACACAATGTGTGTATTCCTTGCCTTAAACAAAAGTGTTGCCCCTAAATTAGTTTTGGGTAATTCACAGGTGAAATAATGGTTTTCATCTGTGTTTGCAGCCGGTAATGTTCAAAATTGGGTGCAGGTGTACAAATTCAGCTGTTCCCTGTACTTATTTCACATTCTATTTCAAATAAATATGAACAAAAGAAAAGTTGCTTAATTGTGATTCTTATTGGACAAAAATAATGGATAAATGGAAAATAAAATTTGTTTTGGCTATTAATAATCAAAGAGTATCCCATTTAATATCCTTATGAAGTATAATGATACAATAAAAGTTTAAGTTAATAAAAAATTTGAATCAATTATATACTTTGGATCAAATAAATTGGACCTCTGTATTTTAAAAATAATCTGCATCAGCCTATACAGCCATGATAATCAAGGGTTGATCAAGAAGTGAATCAAATCCGCAATATTCTGTATGGTTAGCGACATTGAAACAGGGATATTAAGAGTGAAAAAAGACAGATCTCTATTTATTCACAAAATCTGCTCTGAGAGGAAGATCCCAGGCACGAGAGTCCTCCTTGAGTCGGTGGAGGGTTGGTGCACGTTCGGGACCGTGTTTTTCTGCTGGACGCACAGGCTGACCAGGGGCCCCAGCAGGACCACACCCCATCCGTTCTCCTGTCTGGACAGAAAAAACACCAACAGCATTTTAGACACATAAGTTATTTTGAATTATCTAATTTATTGCTCAACTTTTGTACACGTTATCTAGAGGTATTTTTGTACACAATCAATGTCATTTAAACTTAAGAATGAAATGTAAATGTCAGCATGATCTGCTCTACATACACCACAAATATCTCAAGGATAGTTTTCATATAGTCCTATTGTACAAGCTCTCAGCGGTAAGGGAACCCGAAGCACCCGCTGGAAACCTTCTCAAACACGAGGAGACTATGCAAACTCTCCAGAGGGGGTCAAACCAGTTCGGTAAAGTTAGCTTGATATTCACAGATTCGGACTTCCGCGGTGAATATCTTACGAAAGCTACGTTGTTAAACGAAAGTAATTGTGCCAAAATGATCACCTCTACATGGGCTAACTACTACAACATCGATTTTTCTAATCCAATGCGCTGTTTTAATGCAGAGAAATCCATTGAATCCAATGCGCCGCAAGTGCCGAGAAAAGCACTTAGGGAGCGTCAACAAATGCCAATACCAGCTGTGTAAACGAACAATAGTTTTTATTTTAAGCCAAGTACGCGCACTAAACTCTCAAATACTATAAATAGCTACCATATCTAACTACTACAACCTTTGTTTTCAGCATTTGTTTCTTTTTTGTATTTTTTATGAATAAATAGGATTTAATATGAATATGAATTTTGAATAACTTTTTTTCAAAGAGGGGCGTGGTCACCAAATTCTCAGGTATCATCAATAACTGCCATATCTAACTACTGCAACTTTTGTTTTCAGCAGAAATATCTTTTTTATATTTTTTATGATTAAATATGAATATGAATTTTGAATAACTTTTTTTCAAAAAGGGGCGTGGTCACCAAATTCTCAGGTATGATCAATAACTGCCATATCTAACTACTACAACCTTTGTTTTCAGAAGAAATGTCTTTTTTATATTTTTTATGATATAAAAATGATTGAAAAAAAGTTATTCAAAATTCATATTCATATTTAATCATAAAAAATATAAAAAAGATATTTCTGCTGAAAACAAAAGTTGTAGTAGTTAGATATGGCAGTTATTGATGATACCTGAGAATTTGGTGACCACGCCCCTTTTAGAAAAAAAGTTATTCAAGATTTTTAGTCATATTTAATCATAAAAAATATAAAAAAAAGAGAAATACTAAAAACAAAGGTTGTAGTAGTTAGATATTGTAGTTATTGATCATACCTGAGAATTTGGTGACCACGCCCCTTTTAGAAAAAAAGTTATTCAAGATTTGTAGTCATATTTCATCATAAAAAATATAAAAAAGAGACAAATGCTGAAAACAAAGGTTGTAGTAGTTAGATATGGTAGTTATTGATTATATTTGAGAATTTGGTGACCACGCCCCTTTTTGAAAAAAAGTTATTCAAGATGTATATTCATATTTCATCATATTTAATCATAAAAAGTATTAAAAAAGAGACAAATGCTGAAAACAAAGGTTGTACAAGTTAGAAGTGTTAGTTATTTATTGTGTCCTAGAGTTCTGTGCGTGTACATGGCTTCAAGTAACAGCTATTGTTCGTTTACAAAGCTGGTATTGATACTTGTTGACGCTCCCTATGCGCTTTTCTCGGCACTTGGATTGAATGGATTTCTCCTTATTAAAACAGCGCATTGGATTTGAAAAATCGATGTTGTAGTAGTTAGCCTAAGTAGAGGTGATCATTTTGGCACCATTACTTTCGTTTAACAACGTTGCTTTTGTGAGATATTCATGGCGGAAGTCCGAATCTGTGAATATCAAGCTGACTTTACCGAACTGGTCAAACCCAGGGCGCTCTTGCTGAGTAGCGACATCTCTGACCACCTACATATAGTGAACTGTGAATGAAATCACACCCACCCTCTCTGGACGTCTTTTCACAGGCCTCTCCTTCATAACCCTCTTTACAGATGCAGCTGCAGGACGTCCCGGACAGGACGGGGACCCCTCTGTGGAGGCAGGGCTTACAGCGACATGGGTTAAACTCCTGGAGGTATTCGTCAAATCCCGTCTGCAGGTGGTCCAGTCTCCGACCCACGTGTCCCACTGAACTACTCCGCCGCACAAGCTCAAATATGGGCATGACCTGAGCAAAGAAGACACAATGCTGTTAAGCTGTTCATAAACTTTAATCTATTTCAGGGATCTTCGGCAGAAATACTACTCAGCTATGTTTGAGTTTTTCTTACTTTAAGTTTCAAAGTTGTAATGAAAAATTTTAGTTTGGCAGTGACGCTGAGTTTGTATTTTTTCTGGTATTTGCTTTGAGACTTGACACACCTATGACCTTCTAACCGTATTAACATGTATTTATAAATCAGATTTTCCATCCAGAAAGTAATTATTAGGCTCGCAAGGAGACTACATTTTTGTTTATTTTGCTAATTTTATATGAGTAATTTCTTTGAACACAACTAGAAGAGCAAATTTATGTTTATGGACTAATTATATGAGTAATTTCGTAACACAATTTTGTACTGTTTTATACTGTACTCTGGCTATACAATCCTCCTCAACCCTATATGAGCTTTACTAGTAATGTGGGATTAGATCATTGTGATAAAAATAGTATCTTTCTATAAAGTATCAACGAGTTCAATGATCGATTACCTCAAAGTCTATAAGATCTGGATGATATCTGAGGGATGCCCCCCACTTTCTGTAAGTCTCTGGATCCTTAATGACCATAACACCAGCGGCAGACACCGTAATGCCACCTTTTACGAGAGAAAAGCTGTCCTTAATGTCCACTTTATGGCCCCGTCTGTCTAAAAATAAAAATAAAATAAAAAAGATAATTCAACATTGGTCTTTAAACATTGCACCAAAACAGCGTTGAAATCTCTCACCTCTGCTCCCTCCTCCTTTTTTGGCACATTCTTTTCCGTCTAATGTGAGGCCGAGTTCTCCAGCTCCTTTGATGGGAGCAGCTATGCCAATGGAACCTCCTATACAACCTCCAATCAAATGACTGTTTAAAACTGTTAACACAAGAATACAAATACAAATACAAATACATAGCCGACACAAAATATCAGCTTCCGATATCACAAGAGTAGAAGACTGTACTTGATTTTTCAGTATTGGCTTTGTTGATGACCACTATATTCTCCAGCGTTCCTCCCATCACGCCTTCTGTAACAAAGTGGGTGCCGAAAGTCTGAATGAACTGAGAGTACATTCCATAATCGTACACTTCAGGCAGAGCCATCAAGGCCAATAACATGTCCTCCTGAAGCATCAAGTCTCTGCTCCTCATCTTAAAATGAGCGGTTTGGACTTTAGAAAAAAGACGAACATATCCAAGATCCTAAAAGAAGAGATACAGTATGTGTAAATGTCATATCACTGTACCATACTGTATATAGGTATGGACAATGCTAACACACTAGCTCTGAGGAAGTGCTGATAGACAATCACTTACACTGAAAAGTAACCGTTTGTGTCACACTCACCATTTCATATTTCACTGCTCTACATGATTCTGGTTTATACGTTAATAATGTACTTGTAAATCCACGTATGACCTCTAACAACTGACCAATTAGGTGCCTTTAGTCCCTGAATTCGGCTTCAGTTGGCAAGTAGCGCGAGCAGGAACAGTACTGTTCCTGATTGGCTCTTTGGTTGCTAGGTTGTTGCTATCTACAGTACATCATTTGGCTCCAGATTTCCGCCCGTGGAGCCTGTTTGAGGTATGGTAGCTCTTGTCTGCTTCTTCCGGGTTAAGGCAAATAATATGGGTGGTGTCAGTACTCGATTAGTCGACTCCTTCTAAAGTCTTTGTACTGTACTTTATTCAAAGTACATTGGCGGTTTTGATTATAAGAGTTTTTGTGGTATGCATGTTCAATTCTCTAAAATTTTTCTTTTTGGTTCAACTCGATGGATGGGAGCCATTAATTTGTAATAGAGTTTCTGAAAGGAGGAAAATCTCTTATAATAGAAATAAAACAAAAAAACGTACCTGACTTTTATCCTTTGTGACGTTGGTTAGAAACTCAGCCTCCACACTGGCCTTCACTCCCACTTCCACGTACATGACGCCCACAGAGACACCAAAGTTAGCAGAGTTATATGTTTTCCTTGCATTCAGTAAACTGGCCAAGTCGTTGTAGTATTCATAAGTCCCATCAGAAGTGGCCTCCGCCTGGCACAGTGTAACATAGTAACATAAGTCCATGCTCATGTGTGTGAGAATGACAGTGATTTCCACACCATAAACTGGTAAGTATGATAGTTGAATGGTTTCCTGAAGTTTTTCTCTGCAGTGTTGTAGCCCAGTTTCTCACAGAAAGCATCATATGTAAATTTGTTCCATTCCCCATTGTAGACATATTCACAAGATTCTCCAAAATAGTGTGGGTCAAGTACAGGGTCTACAAATTCTCCTGTCAAGCTGTTGTATCTAAAAAAATAAAAGAAATACATGTTGTTATAGAATGCAATACAAACATATACTAACATCCAGTTTGATGAATGTCTTCAGATTTGATTTATTGTTAGTGATTTTTTTTGGCCTGTCTAAAAGACGGTTTTGATTGAAATAGAATGTACATTTTCCAATTGGTTTTATGTTTTGATAATTGGTGAATTACCCTTGAATACCATCCCTTGCTCCAGGAATAGACAACAGAGTAGAACAATAATCCTGTCTTGGATGTGTTTCTACACAATTATCTTCATCAGAGTCGTCATAACAATCTCTCGCATCATTACAGCGAAGAGAGTTGTCAAGACACCGCCCTGCACGAGAACACCGAATGTTAGATGGAAAACACATCTGAGACATAGAATGAGCTGTTATCTCACCGCTCACCTGAGCTGATGCATGTAAATGTGTCTCCGCAGTAGTCTGTGACCATGCATGGCGCGTCTGCGTCAGGGCATCTTTGTTTTTCCCACAGCGTCTCAAAGCACCGACCGCCTCCGAACTGTGAGGGCTTCTCCAAACGCCGAGCGCGAAACTAAGACAAGATTAGTGAATGAAAAATAATCCATTAAGTACTTTTGACTTTGATGAATTGCCATAAATCCATAACTGAAATTAACCTCCCTGGGACGGTAGTTTTTACATGTATGCAAACTCACACTTTTGTCTGTACAAGAGTTGCATGGACTCCAAGATGACCAGCTGCCCAGCTTACAGTTGACGGACACAGGTATGCTTGCATCTCTGGCTCTTCTAGATGAACCCCTGTGCATATCAACACTGTTTTACAGTTTATTTGAAAAAGGTTATGCAGGCCTACGTCAGGCAAAATAGTCTAGTTCCAAAGTTTCTCATCAGTGAGAGTTGAGTTAAATATCTGCGTTAAATTCACCTGTAATCCAGAGTAGCTTCAGTGTTGAAAACAAATAGAAGCATCCACAGGCTGTGACTAAAATAGATGAAATATCGCATCGTGGAAAAGGTCTGACGGAAACTCTTTTTAAAACTCTTTTATAAAAATCCCATCACACAGCAGTGTATCAGTGTGTCTGGACTGAAGGCTCACGTGACCGTGATCGATACAGTGAATGATTGATCGAAAGGTAAACAGCACTTACAGGAATACAGATGGCCAGTCCACTTCCTAAAGTTGGTAAACACAAGGTTTATACCAACACTAAAGATACCCTTGTGGACCCTCTGTCACCGTCACCGACGCTGCACATCTGCTGATATGAACGCGCACGCCCTCACGGGTACGCGCACGCGGTTCATGGCGGCGGCTTCAAAGCTTTAGCAGGAACATATATTTGATGATGAACGGTTTTTTCGGTTAATGGCGTCGTTTCAAATGTATTTTTCTCTTAAGTTAGAGCCCGAACAGTGATGAACCACACGGATTACAATGGAGGAGGTAAATGCACGCACGTTCTAAATGGTGCAGTTTATTGAACACATCTGATCCAAACATGCTCTTTCTCTCTCGTGTTGATCAGTGATATGTAACCCTTGGCTTCAGATGACTTGGTCCTTAACATAATGCAGCCTCTCTCACCCTTGTTTCTTTAAAACAATCATTCTATATAATATTCTAAATAACACTAACCTGTCGTCTGTGCAGCTGATCCATTGTTTCATTTGCAGGAAACCTCAATAAACTTCAAAGCATTGAGAGCCAGGTTTCAGGAGGAAGCTCGGTTGGCTGAGTCCAAAGCCAACCGACCAGCTGTAGCTGGAAAACCAAAGTATCTCCCTCCTCCTGGGGGTCACTGCAGCTCTGTGATCAGCAGTATCCACATGGCTGTAGACAACAAGCCTCCAGTGCTACCCCGAGTTTTCTTTAGAGATGGGCTCAGGGCTTCAGGAGGGAAGAGGCCTACATTACACACTGTTAATGCTGAAGCATCAAGACACTTTCTCAAAGACAGACACATGCCTTTAGTGCTCCCTACTGATAAAAAAAACGAACAACATCCGGAGGTAGAGGGTGTGCCACAAACTAAACCAAAGAAAAAAGGGTTGCTTTTGCAATTCAAGTGTTCGAAATCTGCAAAGGCTGGCTCTGAACACGGCGATGAGCCTACATACGCTGATTTAACTAGCCGACCAGCTAGTGCACCTGGAGAGCTGCCTTCTGAGAAGCCGCACACAGATGACCAGGCCTCGCTCCAGGGCAGAGAGAAGACGAGCGAGTGCACCCTCTCCAGTCCGGACATCACCATTAGCCCCACGTCTGCAGAGGGCCACACTGATGCAGACTGCAGACTCTTCAGCTCCTTGGAGAAGGCCAAGAAGAAGTTTTCCTGTCGACAGATGATATCCCTCAAACCAAAGAACAGCTCACCAGGCAAAGCTTCGCCCCCAAAGAGCACCCTCAGCACTGATTTACCCACACCCCCACCCTTCCCTGTCCCACTGAACCTCCCCAACTTCATCTACATCTCAGCCAGACCATTCAGTAAAGGCATCACAACATTCAGTAAGTTTCACATTTGAGACTTTGTTTCAATGTGTACTTTATTATCATTTCAGTATTGTAATGGTATTTTTTTTATACCTAGAGTCACCTTTAGAAAAGCACTTTGGGAAGGATAAATCGAATCGGCCTTTTGTCAGAATTGGTGACCCCCGTCCTCCATCTCCCCAAAAGAAGCCTTTGCCTGAAAACTGGACTCTGGGGCCTGCGCCTCCAAAGCCCTGCAGACCTCCGAGGGTGGACCTCAGCAGCTACAAGTCTAACACGAGCCGTGGTGAGAAGACTTTGTGCTTGCACTATTTTTATCCAAATGTTTAAGAGATCCTGTATTCACTGAGAAAGTCGAGGGTAAACATGTTTGACTGTACCTTGTAATGTATCTTTTCAACTAATTTTCATTTCACTTTATGCCTTTTTTTGAAGTTTTTTATGTAATTATTTATTTGAATTTAGGACGGTACATATTAGTCAATGTGTCGGCAAACCGCGTCAACATAAATATGCTGGAATTAGCACAAGAGCTAAATTGCATCCATTGTCCTAAGGCAGGTAGAAACATACAGAGTTAGGCAACAGTACATACAATAACTTGACAAGCTTGAACATAAATAATTTAAAAGAGAAAAAAAAGTCCAAGTAACAGCAGAAGGCAAAGTTTGATTTCAAAATCTCAGGACTTTAAATGTTAGGTAGGTCCCACAGTTACGTATGTGTTTTGACGAGGTGTTCCATAATGGTGTGCCTCTGATGGAAATTTGGCTTGTTTGCATTTACACCATATGAACTCTTCCTTAGATGTGTCATTGGACCTGGCAGCGCTGCACCAACATGATTCAGAAAGCACGACTTCAGTCCCGATTCTAGATATCCCAGAGATTCCCGATTTCGAAAGCTCTGAGATCGAAGCGGCCGAGGAGAGTGTGGACATTGCCGTTATAGACCTGGACACTTTGGACCTGCCTGTCCCTAAAGCCCCTGGTCCCTCGGCCTCTGGAGAGTGCTCTGATCTTACGCAGAGCTCTGAACACCAGGACCTAGATCTTGGTCATGAAGTTGTAAATCCCCCAGCCAGCTTTCCTGAACCAATAAACCTGAGCGAGTTCCCAGAACCAGTGGAGCAATGGAGTCAGAACGAGGAGTCCATCAGAGAGCCTCCGTCCTGCACCGAAGAAGCGGCCGACTCCAGCTCCATTCCAGAGGACCAGGGCGAGCACGGAAGTAACTTTGAATTTGGGTCAGTCTTATAACAATTTAAAGTGCATATTCTCTGTCGGAATGCCATTTAATTAGTTCCACAATATTTTGTTAAGGCATCATTCAACATTAAAAAAAAATATATATATTTAGTGCCTAAAAATGATTTGGAAAAACATATTTATTCAAGGATTAGGCTGTATTTTCCATGGATTAAACCTGTAGCTTTTCCTGTCCATGTCACCAGCTAGAATCTGAAAGTTTATTGCATAATCAAAAGCATTCAAGGCAATTCATTGAGACGAGCACATTGCACGCTCTTCATAAGAAAAGTCATGCACTGTTTTAGTTTTACACGCAAAGCCATCTTTCATAATTGCCGTATATCAAGTAATTTATGATCTTTTTAATTTTTTTATTTAGCATATATCAGCAGGAAATGTATGAGACTACATGTGATAATGTCTATGAAGATGTAGAAAACGTCAGCAAAGTTTTGCCTCATCAAAACTCCCGTAAATGGAAAGGACTGAAAAGTAAGTTGTTGCGTTTTTATTACTTTTGAAAATGCACAAAATCTTATGTCTGAAAGCTAATGTTTTTTTCCCCTTTCTGCAGATCCCTATGCGGACAGCAACAATGTGGTATTTTTTATTTGTTTTTTTAAACAAAAGGTTATGCAAATAGGAAAAAGTTGAATAATGCATTGTTTTTGCTGTTTTAAGAAGGAGGAGTCGGGTTGCAGCTCGAGGCAGAGAAATCCACGGTCTGTTCTCAGTCTGTTTTTTCAATTGTCTGCCCAGAAAATTACAATCGATCTAATATTTCGGGCCAAATAGAACTTGTGAAATTATTTTTTTGCTTCTCTTGCTGCAGGAACATTGGAGAGTCTGGTTATTTGTCCCACAGTCAAATCAACAGGTAAAAGAACACGAAAATTCAATATATGCCCAAGTTCGAACCAATGCCATTTCTCACAGTAAAGAATGTCAAAGTCCGAAAGAACAAAAGAAACGTGAAAAACAGCGCCTCGAAAAAGAGAAGAAGGAACAGAAAGAGCGAGAGAAGAAAGAAAATGAAATGAAAAAGAAATTCAAAGTATGTTTTCTTTTCATTTCTTCGAGTTGGACACGTGATATCACCTCTGTGTGTGATCTGTGTCAGGTCACAGGTTTGGAGGAGCCCATGTACCACGCCAAAGTAACAGTCGCGAGTAAAGTCCGTAAACGAGACCTCCCTGTTAAAAGTGGGGACACGGTCAGCATCATTCGCACCACCAACTGCCCCAAGGGGAAATGGCTGGCACGCGACGCAGATCACAAATGTACGTAAAACACCAGTTAAACATGACAATGCTAAATGGCTGCTGTTATTAATCTATGCTTTTTGATATCTATATCGTATCTGGTTTAAAATGATTTGTAACATCTGCTGTCTATTTTAGATGGTTATATTTCTGTCATGAACGTGGAGCTAAATATCAAAGAGATGCTCGAGCTGGGGAAGAAGGCGCAGGCGGCTGGAAGAGGAGGCAACATGGAGGCCGACACCATCAGTATTGGGTCAGTGCAGGCTTTAAACGATGAGTAAAATGTTCGAGAGATGAGTGCTGCTGTGGGCCTAACTTTGTCAGGTGCTCATCAGGATCAGCAGTGGCAAAAACACTGGAAACTTATGAAGAAAGGAGAAAAAAAGGCTTTCTAGACAATAAAATAAAAAACCTTTTAATGAACATTTTGCGTTTTATGCAACGTAGGCCGAAACACATTGCAAAATCACTGTTCATATAAGGATTGGTATTTTATTGTCAAAAGTGCCTCGTACATATTTTTTTTCTCCTTCAATGAGTAAGATGTGTCATAAATCCTAAACAGGACTTCTTACAGACTCCTTTAAAAAATGGCTCTTTTGATATCTAAACAACCAAGAATTTTGTTTCACTTTTTGTATAATTTCTCTATGCATGAGTTGACCTGGTTTGGTCCATATTTAACGTTTTTTTTTTTTTTTTTTTTTGAAAGGCAAGTTTATAATGCTTTGGGTGACTTTGGTCTGTAAAATGCGCTATATAAATAAATGTTACTTACTTTTTAACATGTTTCAGCTGCTAACTGTGAAGCATTTTATTCTGCTGTCTCTTTTATGGCTTTCCTTGTTCATTTCAACTTCATTCTTCAGAACATGAATTTTAACTTTTCAATCTTTATTTTTTGTTTGAACTAATTGGGGATTATCAATCAAAGAAACCACTAAACCAATCATCAATCTCAGCCTGAGGATTTACTGTAGTTTTTCTTAACAGCTCTTCAAGTCACCCGGTCCTGACAAGCAGCTGTGAGTGTAAGTATCCATTATGTGTATGAGAAAACAAACTTATTTTATGTACCCGCTATTCAAGAGTTGGGTTCTTTTTTATCTCCACATAAAGGCAACACTCTAGATGTAATTTCCATCAGAAGAACAAAGAACTGTATAAATGCACACAGAATTTTCAACATCGCATTTATATACATTATTTATACAGCACCTTAGAGCGAGCTTGGCCAAACTGCTCAGTTCCAATGACCTACATAAATCTATACACGTTATCAAGATGCATTTGAATTGGTGCAGTGGATTTTTGGTATACATACAATAAATATCTTTAATTTAAATAACAAGAAGTCTTTAACCAACTAATGCTTCCTCCTTGAAGAAAGCAATGTATTTGTTTTGATTTTCTTTTTAGATGCAGGAGCACTAATGACCTAAATCATTTTTAATTTTTTTTACCCTTAGTTTTTTTAATTGTAGGTCTTTACCAAATGATTGCGAGGCAGTTTGATGCTTAAAGGGCCAAAAACCAGGTCGTAGCGCATTTAGCGGAAAAATCACCGTAAGCGCTAAAATCATGAATACAATAAATCAGTAAGGCATACAAAGAATCATAAAAATCACATTCAAATACACCTTTTATCCCTCTTTCAGCGATGCGCTAAACATATAGACAGTTCAAACGGGACCATCACGAGCCCACACACCATGTCACCTGAAGTACAATACGGAAGCACCCAAGTTGCCCCAAGTTGCCCCAACGAACTTCAAAATAAAACATAAAAGGACGTTCCCTACACAGATGATAGATTTCAGCTCCAACCATGTTTCAAAGGTATATAGAAGGATTTTCTACTTTCGAGTGGATCATCAAGACTATTGTTCCTCCCAATTATCAATAATTCTGGTGATACATGCTCGTTCGAGTTTTTCCAAACAGTGGAGAAGGCGGTTCTTTCCTAAAATTTGGGAAAATCCTCTAATATCCACCTAATATACCTTTTTGTAAATAAAGCGACTCATAAAGTGATCCACCAAATTATTCAGGAAACCATTAAAGGGTTAAAGGGAATCTGACCAAATGCAACAAATACAGTTTTCCCTGCTCTGTAATTAATATGGGTTTCCTTTTTATAGTATAAAATGTAGTTTTCCTTGTCCTGGTCTGCAGTAGTTTGTTTGTGTATCTGGAGGCGCCGGCCTGCTGCGTATCTTTCATTGCAGTGTGCTCTGGGCTCTGTCTGACTAATGTGTTTTTGCTCAGTTACAGACGATAGTGAGGAGTGGGCCTGCGAAGACGAAACCCTGTCTCCCGTCAACGACAGCCCGTACGTCTGCTTTGTACTTGCTCGTGGTTAAGTAGCTCTGGTATCAATGTTGTCATCCGGTTACAATGTTTAAAGACAGTTCCACGCATTTCATCACATCGCCCACATGAAAGAGGCCTTTAAATGTGTTTGTCTGTTTATGTTCTGCTTTTTTCTTTGTAGGAGCTTTCCGCATCAGTCAAGCAGAGTCCCAGAGATGTGTGAGTAAAATCTACATCCGGTTCTTTTTGAAGTGAACGGGCTTTCGGGTTTCTGCCTGTGGTTGTTTTATCTAGGCTTTGATCTAGTTAGTTCACAGTTCTGGTTTGATATGACTCCCCTCATTCTAACCCACTTCTTCTTTTCATGTTTGTTTCCGGTGACAGCGAGCCTCCACGATGGCACGCAGCAGCAGCACACCCTGAGTGATGCCAACCTGGAGGACCTACACACCCAGTGAGTGTCTCAAAACCACAGCACAAGACGCTTTTTATCAAGGTTCTCTTTTAGCGATAAATACTCAAGGAGCTACTTATCCATTCACACACACATTCATATACTAGTGTGTGCGAACACTTCACCAATGGGAGTTTCTCACCTACAAACCTGCGGATAAGTCTATCTGACCCCTCTATAGGGCTGTCTACAGTATCGAAATTTAGATATTAAAACTTGATGCCAACTAAAATGACAACGTTTTTTTAGTTTATTATCTATTGAACAATGTGGCTGAAGACAATATTCGTTTTATTTTGAGTTAAAAATGTGTTCTAATTTCCAAATAGGGCATGTACCAATTGCTGTGGTATTGTATTTTGGTATTGAAATGACACAACCAAGGATGTTTCTGTTTGGAATTGGATTCAAATGACCGACCTTCAGCTCAGACGACACACGCTCATCGTCATATTTACTAAGTAGTATTTGAATTAAAAGATTAGCTTTGCAGATTGTGTTCTAACTTTAAAATCAAAAGTACTTCACAATCATATAATATTATGCATATCAGATATTCGTGCTCCACTGACTTTACATACAGTAAATTATAATATTTTTTTTTAACGGACTGTAAACCACAAACAAACAAAGGCCAGTCTATATCATATATTCGTTTCACATTTTAAGTTGAATTCCAGAAATGAGCTAACTTTTGAACAATATTCTTCTTTACAGAGCTTCACCTGTATGACTTTTTTATGACTTATTTTTTTGCGCATTCCCAGTTGGTGCATTTATTCTTTACTGACCTCAGCAATTTGAAGTGTATTCTGTAGTAAAGTGTTCTTACATATTTCATCGTGCACATTATTTATGTGCATTGGGAAAATAAATAATGCATCGTTTTTGTTTTGTTCCAGGACGAGACACGAGGCGCTGCAGAAATTGGCCATTTTCTTTCAGCACAACAAAGAACCCGAAGAGAACGGAGTGGCAACTGCTACAAGGTGAGCAATCTATATTTCTGCTCTACTCAAACGACTAATGCAGTGCTAATGTTTGTTTTTCTTCAGCTTGGAGACGCCTAGTAAGTTTGCCTTCTCTCGTCGCTCTCACTGATAACTGCGGTTTGAGATGAAAGTACCGCTCCTCACACTTGAGTTCGCTGACGTGTCACCAGCATCAAGTGACTTTCCATCACAGACAAGATAAAGATAGTTAAACTTATCGCAATTTCTTTTCTTTTCTTCTTTTACAGACCTGTGTGATGTTGAGGAGCTTCCAGTTCCGTGAGTGTGTCCTGTGACCATGACTTTTTTGGTTTTTACTGAATTCATTGCATTATTCATTCTCTCCCGTTGTGCATTTGGTGTCACTGACTGTGGTCTCCCATCACAATACTAACCACGGCTCATCTTGACTTGTTTTTATTTTCGTCCGTGGGCAGAGGCAAAGTGACTGCAGGTTTACTATGTGCAAAGAATTAATAATTAGAATGGCCTTAGCATTTAAAAAACATATGAGATCAGGCTTTGGAAATGATCACACAAAAAATCCAACAAACCACAGTTCTGACCACCACTAATTATTCTAGACTTGCATTAGGAAATGTGGGGAATGTGTCTTGCCTAAGGACACAACAACAGTTGAGCCATTTCTCCCTTCACAATACTAACCAGGCCCAGTACTGCTTAGCTTTTGAGATCTGATGTTAGACGGTTTCAATGATATGGCTCTTTTCAATTATCAAATCATGTTGAATCAGGACAGATTTCTTAAATAGTTTGATGTAACCAATTATCACTGTTTTTTTCACGATCTTAGTGTCCCGACCCCCACTTTGGGAACCACTTAATTTTCTAATGGTTCTGGAATCTTGAATGTGTTTTGATTCTCTTGCAGAGAACAAGAGATGGACTTCACAGAGTTGGAGTTTCTTCCGCCGCCGCCGCTGTACGCAGACTTCTTCTGAGTCATCTTCAAGATTCTCTGACTTTTCTTAATAACTTTTGTCAGTTATTTAATTGTGTTTAAATTATGGAGCAGGTGTTTGAATGTCACGTTGTCTTTTGTTTTGTTCACTTTACTCTGTCACTGATTGCACACATTCATGAATTTTGCATTATGTACAAAGGGCATTGGCATAAAGCTTATTCACCAAATGTTACGTTTGAAAAGGGTTTATATATATGTCATTAGCGGGTTGTATTTCCTGAATGTGTTATGTCTAATAAATATGATTTCATATAATTTTGTACATTTTACCTTTAATTGTTACCATTAAAACATTTTTGGTAGAGAACTACGCCTGCATTGCTCTGTTCAAAGCCCCTATGCCCGCCTCCGCTACATGGAGATGCTGCTGTTGTGGTTTCAGTTTTGTATTTTTTCATGGCACTAAACTTATTATTAAACATATCCGACAGTTGAAACTTTAAATCCTTGTTTCTTTTGTCGTTTTTGACTTAATCACTCTTGTTCTTCAGCACTTATGTGGTCCCACCTGCATGTGTAAGTCATGAACTGTGACTTCTGAAGCCAAGTAGGGCAGGCCCTGGTTAGTACTGTGATGGGAGGCCTCTGGGAACGCATGTTGCACTGTGGGGTGGCTGTGGTTATAAAATACAAAACTGTTGTGTCCTCAGGCAAGACACTTGACCCACATTGCCTGGAATGAGTCTGTAGAGTGTGTATAAGGGGAGGGGCTGATGGCACATACTGGTTGTCTTGCTCTTGTCAGTGTTCCCAAGATAGTTCATCACAACCGTGTTTGTAGTAAATGAATAATGCGTGTGAGTCTGAGTGTCCCAAAACATCTACAAGCTCTATTTCCATTTTTGGAAAGAACCGCACTCTCCACTTAAAAAATAAAATAAAAAAACTCTGGTTTTGTTTGACGAGCACGTATCACCAGAATGATTGACAATCAGGATGAAGTGAAAAAAAATTAAAAATAGATTTCACAGAGTTTAGAAAAAACGATGAAAAATACATGCAACGAGTGATGGAACAAACTTTTTGGAGTGTGAGGAACTAGTTACATGGATCGTATTAGGTTTATGCATAGACTGTAAAAAATAAGTTCATGCGGTGTGGGAGTTAGGTACCACAGCTTTAACATTTGTTATTATAATTCCTGTGTGGTGTGAATGGAAGGGGGCGGGGCGAGGTGAGGGGCAAGGGGCGTGGCTGACACTGGTAGTAGGGCGCGCGCGGCTGCAGATGGTCAGCACAGAAGTCCGCTTACCAGACAGGGACACACTTTAGTCACTTATAAACTCCTTATTTCGCTAACAAACCTCTGACCGCTCCTCATCTGGAGTTGTAATTCACCTGTAGTCATTAAACATTCTCTCAGCTTAGTCCGTGTTTATTCTGCCCAACCTTGAACCAAACCACGGGTTTTAAATGCAACGCTGCCTGATTTATGAGAAGAGCATGGCCGAGACGAAGAGCGCTTCTCTCCACAACAACAGCTGTAAAGACCACAGCCGCAGAAAGTTACTCGTCGGTGTGGACCTCTTCTGTCTGTTTCTGGGTAAGATCCTATTGTCTAAACACAAGTGGTCTTTGTATGCAAAAGAATCATGTTAATCTGTATCATCGGTGCTATGAACTAATATATAGTAATCGATAGAAACGACGGACTATATTATAATTCAGCTGGTGTGTATTACTGTTTATTTTTGTTAAAGTTGTAATATCTTCCCAATCTATGTGTCTTACAATTTGAAATGTTGAAATCTCGTATGCTTAATGATATTTCTTTTGGAAGATGATGGGTACTATGTCAACAGAAATGAAAGTGCTGAATGGTTTAATAATGTCTTTGTGTGTCTTGTTTTGCAATAACAATTCAATGGTTTGCTCAACTATTTGGTGGATCAATTTTTGACTCACTATCTGCTAAATCTATCTTATTAGAGCATCAATATCACTTGTTTTTACCACCAAGCTGCATCGCAATCAGTTGTTATAGGCATATAATAAAAAAACTAGGGGGCTCAAAAACAGATGGTTAATGTGCTCCTACATCTAAAATTTACATTGTTTTCTTCAAGGATTGCACATTAAGAGGTTTTTAGAGGTTTGCAGCATTATTTATTTATTTTGTCTTCACATCTTTTATTTATTATATGATGTTGTAATGTCATCAGGATTTAACCAGTATTTCAAAATGATAACAATGTTGTTGGTAATCTTCATTGCAAATATCTTCCCAGCTCTAATAGAAGTTTTGTGTTGTGTTTGTAGTAGGTTTAGTTGTCACAGGAAAAGTTATAGACACATTGAAGGATGGTCAAGCTATTGCAGTTAGTCGCCTTGCTCTCAAAAAGTTGTCTAGCGTTTGCCATAACAGAAAAAAACAAGAATAAGCCATTATTAAAGCTTGGGTATGTAACTTTTTCCTTCACAAATTACACATTTTGTTAGTTCCACCAGAAAACGGTCTAGGGAAAATGTTCACCTTAGACACTGCATCATACCATAACATGCTGTCTCACAATGTTGTTTTTTTTGGTAGAATCTTTTGCATACGTATTAGAAAGATTTCTGGGAGTCACTATATGAAGCTTTGGAGAGAGAACTGATTGTCTATTTTTCTTTTGCTGATAGAAAGATTTTAGAGGATGCCTGGTATGCATGTGAAAACTTTTTTACACCATTTAATTGTGGTTTGAAAGTTATCCACACCAGCTTTAATGCTCCTTTGGATACAGAGGTACATTCCACTGCAGTCCATAAATGTGCATAGAAAAAGGAAGTGGCTCCAGAGGGGATATTACTCCTTGCTGTCCAGCCACACCTGTCCCGTGCCTCTATTTCAACTCATTATTTTTTCCAGAGTGCTGCATTCCTCCCCAGCAGAACCTCTCTTGATCTGCACATCTGGCTGAATATGTTTGTGTGGAACTGTAATTAAAAGCAGGGGTGAGAAGGTCCGAGTTGTGCTGGATGCTCTTCACAATTGTGGATGAGAGGTCAGGGTTAGTCAGAATTTACGGTTTTCCAGTGAAGCATGACTGTTCCTGAATGGCAAGAATCCGACTTTTTTTTTTTTTTCTTTCGCTAGTTTGTCTGGAAATGTAGATATATTATGTGAAATACTATTCTAAAGGGCAATTTCCATGTAAGACTTCAAGACTAGTGTTAGCTTAGTCTTGCTGTAATGCTTTGGAGCTTGAGAATTGAAAGTACAACGTCAATGAATGAATAGACAGGAGCACCTTTCAGAAAAAAAATTGTATTGTGTAAACCAAAGAACTAGAGAGAACAAAATTCTGTCAACTGAATTATTTTTAAGATTGAGATAAGGAGATCCTTTAATCGTCCTACGGTAGGAACATTTCAGTGTTGCATCACAAGTTACAGAGCAGTAGGAATGTGGAGCACACTGCACAAGAAAGTTGAACGATAACGCTATACTAAAATAAGATAAATTGTTGACTCTAACATAAAAAGAATCAGTATAAAATCTCTATCTTCAGCATAATAAGGAAATAAGTCTAAAATCTCCAACTTTAGCATGATGAAGAAGCAAGCCTTAAGTACAAAAATTAGTAACATTCTAGTGCAAGTAATATAGTTGTGTGTATACATCTGTACATGTTAGTCATTCTGAATCAGTGATTATAGAATCTTAACCAAAAAAGGCTAAGGCATCAGCAAAAGCATATTGGAGCAGAGATCAGACTTTGGAAGAAAAGGCGAAACCATATTTTCTGTCTTTTCCGCACATGAAATAATGTGAAAGGGAATAGTTCAAGAGCTATAAATAACATGCATCTGTCTGTTTTCTCTAATGGTTTCTCTGTTATCATGGGAAAAATCACTGATGGGGTAATTAGTGGTGAACCCTCTTTTCTTTCCAGTGGGTTATAGATGCAGGGGATGACTGTACTGTATATGCACATCCTTTCCAGAGAGACGCTTGTCAACAAACCCACAGCGTTTCTCAGGCCGTGTGGTTTACTGCACTGACCACAAGAGGAAATGGGGGCCGAGTCGTATTCAGCACCCCGCACTTCTCACACTCTGATTGCCCCTCTGAGCTCCCGGGAATCCACAAGTCCCGCCTGTAAACACACAAGATCACTGGTCGTCTTGAACAAAGGGCAAATGGCCAATAAAGTTTAACCAGGGACAGATTTGAAACCCATATAACAAGAACAACAGTGAAAAGGATTTCCTACAATTTAATTAAACAAAACCATAAACCTGTGCATTAACTACCAATTGAGATGTGAAATCCAATCTCACGCACCACAAAAAAACCTACAACATTTCACTGGTTTGAAGTAATTTCTTATGAGCCATATTACGTCTGCCAAGGAGTTGTTTCTAACCACATTGGAAAAAGTCTAGCGTGGATTTAAGATTTATGTTGACAACTGGGTTTTTAAACTAATCTAGTCAACTATTGAAATTAAGAATAACTTTTTGAATGCCAGCAGTCATCCAACAATTAAAATAGAAAATATTAAATGTACTACTATGTACCCGAAACATTTTCTATATATACTTACAATATACTCGATCCAAATGTTATAGTTTCTTAAATCTGTTGGATCTGACCTTTACCATAACATAATTCTGGCAAAAATATGATATAAAAAATACAATGCACACAGGATTGGTACAACAATAATATTTGTGTTGCAACAGACTTGCTGTGCCCTAGATGTCTTGCTTTGCGGCCGGGGTCTGACAGCTGCAGTTTTGGGGGTCCGCTGCCTCGAATAAAAACACTGGCATCTGTGCATACACTGCATTACTCTGCCAGAGAGTAGGATCCTACAAGTGGAAAAGGTGCCTGTTTACTTAAGCTGCAGTCACTCTTTGCCTGTTTAACGTGAGCTTCACAAATCTGAAATCATACAGGGTCTGTGACTATGGTTGGCCTCCTTCTGCTTGTTACCATGGAAATGTCGTTCCCTTTGGCTTTAATTTTTTACATTATTTTAATGGTTTTCTCACTTAGTGCACTCACTCATAGAACTATAGTTAGTCAAGTACCTGTAGGGTGTGTATGTTTACTATCTCCATGGAAGAATGCAGGTTATACAGCAGTCGGTTTAACTGTTTGGAAGATCGGATGCCTTTTGAGGGAATGTGTGAACTTCATCGTTCTCCTGGTTATTCTATCATTTTTAACGCAGAAACACCAAACATGAAAACCAGTGAATCACTCTGCGCACATATCGTACATGATTTCACCTGTGCAATACGCCCTTACCCTCATGGCGTCTGCCCTGCTGTGGATGTTTGTGTGTTTCTCTGTGGTCCTGGAGACCTGGTTGAGCTAATGCAAAGCACAGCCTCCGTCCTGCTGATCAATGTTGTCGTTGGCCTGACCAAAAGCCCCCCCTCTGCGTTCTGCTATGGTTCTGACTTGTTCAAAGACGAGCGTCTGAACAGGAGGGAAAGTCCCAGGACAACATCCCCAGTGCTGATGCTGCACATGAGGTCAGGGTCGAGGGAGGAAAATCATTCGACAGATCTTTTGGAAAACAGGAGCTCACTGCATTACGTTGACTTTGTTTGAATAAAGCACAGCTATGAATACAAGTTACTGTCTTAAAAAAACGCAACTAGAACCCAATATTTTAGCCATGCTTTTTGTCTGTCGCATATTTACACTTCTGATTTTTCATTTACAACTAGTATCAAAAATAGATACAAATTCAAACAAGCACTAATACTGATATAAAAGTATTGGGTTCTTCTACACCAGGCAAGAGTAGGTAAGACATGTTTTATTTATACTAAGAAGACAAGCAAAATCTTCCTAAACTACCAATACTGATGGGAAAAGTTGGAAAAAACATGACAAGAATGACTTTCTAAAACAATTTTAGTTTTGTCTTGATTATCTGAGCACGTAGACTACATGGGAATATTGAAGAAAATACTAATACACTTATGTTGAAAATGACATGTACGTTTCTATTTGTTTTTTTTTTTTAAGTCTGTGTAAGTGTCAAGAAATGAGAGGGCCTGGAGGGTAAAACATGGCAGCATGTCCACTGTCTGCTCAGTGTCTCACTCTGGACTAACTCGTTTTAATGGATTTTTTACTGCTTTTAATTCTTTTTAAAGTTACAGTTTAATGTATTTTTTATTGAAACTTCTTCACAAGCTCTTGAGAATTGTGAATTGGAGCCCAGAGCAAACTGAGACAATGAAGATGTGTTGCTGAAAACGTGCTAGCTCGGAGGCTACCACGAGGGCACCACGTCATGAGCTTTTATTAAACCTACACAGACATGGAACGCGACACTGCAATAACCACAAACCCTATAAACGACATTAGTCGCCTCACATTGGAGTTTCGTGAGAGGGACCGTGCCACTATTGCAGACCTCCGTAAAGAAGTCCTTCGCCTCACTGCAGAACTACAGGAAAAACAATTACTCGTGTCCAAACTCTTTGATGTCGCTGGCGGGCAGCACTCACGACTTATGTCACTGAGCGCTGCATACTGTGACACTGTCGTGTGGGAGAGGTCTGTCAGCTCTGGACCCTCCTGTTCTACAC